TTTCTAAAGTAAAACACCAGTTAAAAATGCAAAATAAATAACCATGTGTCATGCAAATTTTCCTTAAAATAAATTTCATAGAAACATTGTTACAACATCTTGAAGTGGAAACCATCCAACAAAAACCAATATTACAAGATAAGGCACACAACATTGTCACAATTCTTAAATAAATTTATAATAATTTGTTGCAGATTACAAATCTACCAAACTTTGAGAAATAATCATCAGTGTGACCATTGAGCTCAATGAAAGTAGCCATAGAGCTCAATAAAGCAGATGCAGAGGTTCCAATTATTAGAATCACCAGTTGTTCTGCCTGTAAGAATGATTCTGAAGAACCTGAAGGGGAGGAGGGAGCTGGGGCCAAGCACTGGCCATGAACCAAACTGGCCCGCCCTGCAAATTGTGTTATCATTCTCATGAACACGCAGATTAGTCCAAGTCTCTCCATCCATGGAACCCTGGTTGAAGATGTCAATAACAACATCAATAAATTTCAAGAATATTTATACACAAATCACACAATTCTTGTTTAATTACACAAAACAACTGAAGTTTGATGATATTTATATTTATAACATTGGCCATTTACACATAGGGGTGTAATGGCTCAGCTCGTGTTCGGCTCTTTTATATTTCGAACTCAAAAAGTGTGTTCGAACACGAGCTGTTCACAAACAAAGAGTCATTTTAATAACCCTAATCATGTAGTCATAAGACATAAGACAATAAGGGTTTGAACAATATTTAAAAATTATTATTTATATTAAAACATCATTGTCTTATATATATAAACTTGATGAGTAGTATTTCGAGCCAAAACGAGCTGAACACAAACGAACACATCTTAGTTCGTGTTCGGCTCGTTAACTTATCGAACAAAATTAACGAGCAGCCAAACACGAGCTTCTTAACGAGTCGAACACGAGCTATTCGCGAACAACGAGCCGTTTTGACAGCCCTATTTACACACATACCACCCGCTTCCTGTGAATTTACATATCTAACACCTCAAATTCACCTTTTTTTCTTATTTTTTACTTTTATGTCACCCAAATCTTTCAAGTGAAATACAACTTTTTATGCATTAGATAAGGTGGCCTATGTATTTACATGCTAACACCTCAACTTTACTTTTTCTACTTTTATACCACCCAAACCTTTCATATTGCATCAAAAAAAAAAAAACCCAATTTTACTGTCACAATCACATCACGGTTTCTACATGAAAATGTGCATTTCACTTGAAAAAAAAATGCTGATGTTTTTTTATTATTATTTTTTTTATTTGAAGTTAAGGATTCAAGTATTAAAGTTCCGGCATTAGAACGTATGTACATATAAATTGTTTGGTAGCATGTAAATCCCCTATTTTGCATATATGAATATGAGTGCTTAATCTCACAAATCTTTTATCATTATCCTCAATTTTAAATGATTAAAGTTTAAAATATATTTAATTAATTAAATATGACATTATACTAAGTATTATTTCAAAAGTTAATAAGAAAATATTTAAATCAACACAAAAAGTCATTTATTTGATATTTTTGTCCTACATAAGAATAATAATAAGTTTAAAAGTGTATAATCAAAAGGGAGTACCTGGAAGGCCCATGAGCGTGGAAAATTTGTGGAGCCATCATGCCTGAAGGTGTAATAGTTGCACATAAGCTGTTAATAGAAGCAAATTAAATGGGTAAGTTCCTTGGCTGTAGCTACAAACAACAATCATGTTCATGTAGCATTTTATAGCAAAAACATTGTTAATAAGATACCAAAGACATGATAAAAAAAATTGGGCATTTACATACATACCACACAATTCTTAGGTATTTACGTATCTATCACCTAAACTCTCGTATGTAAATGCATATCACTCAAATCTTTCACATCGCATAAAAATACCATCAACACTATCTTTTTTTAAAAGTGAAATGCACCTTCTCATGCATAGGTTCATGACATCAAGGCGTTAAAAGTGTAAAGATCAAAC